TTTTGGGGTCAAATTTTGGGGGTTTGGGGTCAAATTTTGGGGTTTTGGGGTCAAAATTCTGATTTTTTGGGTCAAATTTTGGGGTTTTGGGGTCGAATTTTGGGGTTTGGGGTCAAATTTTGGGGTTTTGGGGTCAAAATTCTGATTTTTTGGGTAAAATTTTGGGGTTTTGGGGTCAAATTTGGGGTTTGGGGTCAAATTTGGGGTTTTGGGGTCGAATTTTGGGGTTTTGGGGTCAAAATTCGGATTTTTTGGGTCAAATTTTGGGGATTTCGGTCAAGTTTTGGTCTTTTGGGGTCGAATTTTGGGGTTTTGGGGTCAAAATTCGGATTTTTTGGGTCAAATTTTGGGGATTTCGGTCAAGTTTTGGTCTTTTGGGGTCGAATTTTGGGGTTTTGGGGTCAAAATTCGGATTTTTTGGGTCAAATTTTGGGGATTTCGGTCAAGTTTTGGTCTTTTGGGGTCGAATTTTGGGGTTTTGGGGTCAAAATTCGGATTTTTTGGGTCAAATTTTGGGGATTTCGGTCAAGTTTTGGTCTTTTGGGGTCGAATTTTGGGGTTTTGGGGTTGAATTTTGATTTTTTGTGTCAAATTTGGGGGATTTGGGGCCAAATTTTGGGGTTTTGGGATCAAATTTGGCCTTTTGGGGTCAAATTTTGGGGATTTGGGGTCCAAATTCTGATTTTTGGGTCCAATTTTGGTGGTTTTGGGGTCAAGTTTGGACATTCAAGGTCCAATTTTGGGATTTTGGGGCCAAAATTTTGGGGATTTGGGTCAAATTTGGTCTTTTGGGGTCAAATTTTTGTGTCAAATTTTGGGGTTTTGGCGCCAAATTTGGGGTTTCAGGCTCCAATTTTGGGTTTTTGGGGCAAATTTTGGGGATTTTGGGGTCAAATTTTGGGGTTTTGGGGTCAAATTTTGGGGGTTTGGGGTCCAAATTTGGATTTTTTGGGTCCAATTTTGGGATTTTGGGGTCAAATTTGGGGAATTTGGGGTCCAATTTTGGGGTTTTGGGTCAAACTTGGCCTTTTGGGGTCAAATTTTGGGGTCCAAATTCTGATTTTTTGGGTCAAATTTGGTCTTTTGGGCTCCAACTTTGGGTTTTTTGGGTCAAATTTTGGGGGTTTGGGGTCAAATTTTGGGATTTTGGGGTCAAGTTTGGACTTTTGGGGTCAAATTTTGGAGTTTTGGGGTTGAATTTGGGGGCTTTGGTGCCAAATTTTAACTTTTGGGGTCAAATTTTGGGGTTTCAGGCTCCAATTTTGGGGATTTTGGTCAAATTTGGGGTTTTGGGGTCAAATTTGGACTTTTGGGGTCAAATTTTTGGGTAAAATTTTGGGCTTTTGGGGTCAAATTCTGGGGTTAAATTTGGAGTTTTGGGGTCCAATTTTGATTTTTGGGGTCAAATTTGGGGAACTTGGGGTCAAATTTGGACTTTTGGGTCCAATTTTGGGTGGTTTTGGGGTCAAATTCGGGGTTTTGGGGTCAAATTTGGACTTTTGGGGTCAATTTTTGGGGTTTAGGGGTCGAATTTTGACTTTTGAGATCCAATTTTGGAGTTTCAGGCTCCAATTTGGGGGGCTTTGGGGTCAAATTTGGGGTTTTGAGCTCCAATTTTGGGAGTTTCGGGGTCAATTTTGGGGTTTTTGGGGTCAAATTTGGATTTTTGGGTCCAATTTTGGGGTTTTGGCGTCACATTTTGGGATTTTGGGGTCACATTTGGAGGTTCAGGGTCCAATTTTGGGGGTTTTGGGCTCAAATTTGGGGTTTTGGGGGTCAAATTTGGACTTTTGGGTCCAATTTTGGGGGTTTTGGCGTCAAATTTTGGGGGTTTGGCATCAAATTTTGGGGTTTTGGTGTCAAATTTTGGGATTTTGGGGTCACATTTGGAGGTTCAGGGTCCAATCTTGGGGGTTTTGGGCTCAAATTTGGGGTTTTGGGGGTCAAATTTGGGGTTTTTGGGGTCAAATTTGGGGTTTTTGGGGTCAGATTTGGACTTCTGGGTTCAATTTTTGGGGTCTTGGGCTCAGATTTGGGGAGGGGGGATCCCCAAATCTTCCATTTTTTGGGAGGCTCCAAATTTCAATTCTTTTGGGGG